GGACAGAGGAAGTTCCTGTCCATGCTGCTCACCTTGAAGGTGGGTCCGCCCGGCCGCGTTCACACTGTGCATGCTGGGTCGGGCCTGGGCTCGGGAACGGGCAGCCGTCCCCCAGGGAGGTCCGCTGCCCCCGGGGGTGCGGGCAGCAGCGCGCTGCAGAGGAAGTTCCTGTCCATGCTGCTCACCTTGAAGGTGGGTCCGCCCGGCCGCGTTCACACTGTGCATGCTGGGTCGGGCCTGGGCTCGGGAACGGGCAGCCGTCCCCCAGGGAGGTCCGCTGCCCCCGGGGGTGCGGGCAGCAGCGCGCTGTGAGCTCTGAGCTCAGACCTCTGCTCCTTCCACCCGTTGGGGTGGCAGCCGCACCCCCAAACCACAGCTCGCAGGCCCCGCCTCCGGGCTCCGGCAGTGACGGGCTGCGTCCTGTGGGGGAGGCGCGGCTCATGGTCTCCGCTTTGCAGTGCACGCTGGACCCGGACACGTGTGAGCCGACCGACACGCTGACGGAGCAGGCGGTGGAGTTCTGCCAGCGGGTGGGCAGCAGGGCCACCCGGGTGTCCGACATCGTGGGCCGCCAGGACGAGGCCGTGTACCGGGCCATCGAGGAGGGCATCCAGCGGGTGAACGGGAACGCGGCCGCCCGGCCCTACCACATCCAGAAGTGGGCGATTCTCGAGAGGGACTTCTCCATCTCGGGCGGAGAGCTGGGTAGGCTTGCTTAGCTCCCCCCACCACCACCCCGTTCCGGGTGCAGGGTGGGGGGCTGGCAGGGCCCGGGAGGCACTGTGGTGGCAGCGCCCACCTCCTGCAGTGGGGGGACACTGCTCAGTGCATGGCCGTGGGGGAGCCTGTCACATGGACAGGGTTTGGGCTGGAACTTGTGAGTTTGAACCTGTGACATCCGACGGCTGCGGCTGTGGGACCGCTGTCCCCTGAGATCAGGGGCCACCAGCCTCTCGTGGGTGAGACCCGAAATCTGCAGGCAGCTCACATGGCAGGTCGGGGTGAAGCCCCTCGGGCTGCGGTCCTCCGAACCGGAAGGGCCTGTGGCGCGGCCTCAGCGGGGCAGGCACTCCGGCGGCGTCTTGGGCGTTTCAGGGCTCGGAGCTGGCAGCGCCGCCTCCGTGAGGTGCCCTCGGACCCCAGGCTGGAGGCAGCCGCCTGGCCAAGGCCGTGCTGAGGGCGTCCCTGGCGCGTGTCTGGCTGTCTGGCCCAGCACTGAGCGCGGCCAGCTGGACAGATGTCCTCGCTGAGCAGTCTCTATAAATGACTCGGTCAGGAGTCCCCATTACCCCGCCCAGCATGAGTGAGCACCGAGTGGACGTCCAGCTCCCGGGACACGAATCAGCCGTGTCCACCTGGCTCTGGAGGGCGCACCCAGGCCACGCCCGGGGGTGGGGAAGGCCTCTCGGGCGGCAGAGCATCATGTCCAGAGCTGACAGGACGGGCACGTTCGTCCTTGTTGTGCAACACGTCACCTCAAACTCAGCAGCTCAGAGCGCAGGCGCTTGTCATTCTGCGGGTGGTGCTGGCTGGGGTCTCCCCTGAGGTTCCAGAAATGTCAGCCGGCAGGGCCACCTGCGGGGCCACTTCCCGCTCCCTCGGGGTATGGGGCAGACCAGGGGCCTCCAGCTGCCCCAGAAACGGGCCCCGAGGGCCAGGGCAGGACCTGCTGTCTTCTTATTTGGTCACTAGAATCATTGATTCAAATGCATGGAAGTCAGAGATGGGTGCAGTCAGGGCTCAGGGGCCTGGACGAGATCTCACTAGGACGGACGGGAGAGAAAGGGCTGCGGCCGTGTGAGCAGGTCACTCAGGCCGGCTCGGGGGCTGGCCGCCGGGTGGTGTGGCTTCGGGACTCGCCATCCTGGGTCCTGACCACACGCTCAGATTCCTGAGGCCTCACACGCGCTCTCCCATCCCCTCCCAGGCCCCACGATGAAGCTGAAGCGGCTGACCGTCCTGGAGAAGTACAAAGACATCATCGACTCCTTCTACCTGGAGTGAAGGTGCCCAGGCCCCCCAGCGCCCCCTGCCCCCCTGCCCTGCGGCCGTGTGGGGCTGCTGGCCGCTGTGAGGCCCGGGGGGCCCGGCACCCCTTTTGCAGGCCTCTGGCCACGTAGCTGGCTGTTCCGAGAAGCTTCCGTGTGCATAGTTCAGTTGTAGCGTCGCGGTGTTCAGGTGACAGAACAGCTCCCCTTCC